TCCTAAGAAGAAAGGTGATCCGGGAAGCTTAACATTGTCTTGCCAATTTGGAAACTTAGCCACCATTTACGCATTGGCTGATTCAGGGGCAAGTGTAAATCTCATGCCTTACTCGTTTTTCAAAAAGTTAGATCTTCCAGAGCCAAGGCCCATTCGTATGGCAATTCACCTAGCAAACAAGACAGTTACATTCCCTAGGGGAATATGTGAAGATCTCTTGGTGAAAGTGGACAAGTTCGTGTTCCCCGCGGACTTTATAGTTTTAGACATGGAAGCGGATCCCCAAGTCCCGATCATACTCGGAAGACCTTTTCTTAATACGGCAAGTGTTATCGTCGACATGCGAGATTCTAAACTTACCCTTCGGGTAGGGGACGAATCAGTCACTTTTGGAGTTGATCAAGCCATGAAGCATGCAAGGAGTAGTGACGACACGACATTTTCGATGGACTTGTTGGAAGAATTATTGGAAGATTGGAATGAAGATAAGTCAAACAAGTCCACCGTCACAGTTGAAGAAGAATTTGACGCTGAAAGGGACCTGCTGGAAATAGAGAGACTACTCGAGGAAGTTGATTATAACGATCTGATTAGAAAGGCAGAAAACTCGACTCGGCGAGTCCATTCGAAGAACCCCGAACAGTCGCGAATTTTGTATCGGACTCGACGAGTCCCCTCACTGGACTCGACGTGTTCAACATTCAGAACACGAAATCGGAGCTTAAAGCACTACCAGATCACTTGGAGTACGCATTTCTTGAAGATGGCCAGCAAAAACCTGTAATTATAGCTGCTGATTTGGCCAAACATGAGAAAGAAAGCCTTGTGGGTGTACTAAAGAAGAGGCAAGGTGCTATAGCATGGAAGATAACCGACATCAAGGGAATTAGTCCGGCCTATTGTTCCCACAAAATCAACTTAGAAGATGGAGCAAAAGCTGTAGTACAATGCCAAAGAAGACTCAACCCGAACATGCAAGAAGTTGTAAAAAAGGAGGTGGTGAAATTATTAGATGTCGAAATCATTTTCGATCTCCGATAGCCCATGGGTGAGTCCGGTCCAAGTGTTCCAAAGAAGGGAGGTATGACGGTATCGACGGAAGGTAAAAAATCTATGGTGGTGGTCTTTTTTGTGTGTTTAGGTTCCCAATAGCTTATAAGAAAGATGAGATAATGGAGTTTGGGACAAAGGGGGCGGCGGACGCCGGTTCCGTTAGAGGTGGATTTCCAAGGCGTCGACCATCCAGTTGGGTGACCACGTGAGGATTAATGGGGAAAGGATGGCTGGTGACATACTTCTAGGTTGTATGGGCGGCATCGAGAAGTTAGTGGTAACAGAGGGTTGTCGGAGACCGAAGAGAGCGACGTGAGACGGAAGAGATGTGGTGTGACGGCAGATGGTGGTGTGTAGATGAGATTAGGGTTTTCAATATCTTTTGGTAATGGCGTAAGATACATTTAGGTACGCGTTTTTTATGTTTAGATTGTATGCTTAATATGGTTGTACATGATGTTCTGATAGTTATACCTCTTAAATTTCAAGAAATTGGCAATATGTTTAATAAGAGAGTAAATATATATATATATATATATATATATATATATATATATATATATATATCAATTAAGCTATTGAGAAAACCTATTGAACCAGGTTTGATGCAACACACAACCTTTTGCTATATTTGCTATGCTCAAACAATAAACAAGAAGCATTCCAATAGAAAAACATGTCCAAATGTAAACAAGGTAAAACTTGTCTACATCAAAAAATGAAACTGGATCAAAATAACAAGAGAGAATATGGATGTAATGTAGTAAAATTTGATACTTGACATAAACAAAAATAAGAAACTTTGTATCATACTTGACATCTCTGGATTTTAATTTTCTTCGGCACCATCCAACATCTCATCATGCTTGACAGGTGCTACCCAAACAAGACTTTCCACATACTCCACAATTTTATTTATACTATATTCTCCACGACAAGGTTTCTCCAAGATTTTAGTCTTGTGTGTGGCTGAATCATACAAAAGAATATGGCCATCCTCATCTAAAAGAAGAAATGCATAGTTTGATGTGAATCCAAATAGATTATACGCATCACTAGAAAAATGCAAAAAGGAATGACGTTTGACCCATGATCCAACCACCCCATACTCCTCCATCACCCACACCTCATATCTATCATCCTCATCCTCATACAATGACATCACACAAAGCTTTCTGAACTCCTAGCAATACAAAAAAAATGTTTCCAAATTTGTTGAAGCTTTGCTATCCCAGTGGCAGCAGAAATGCTAGTAGAATTCTTCATTCATGAAATCAAAAGTGCATCAAGGTTTCAGACATTATGGTTTGGTTGGACATATACACAGACGAAGGAATACACATATATATTATTATGAACTCGTAAAGAAAAAAGTCCCCTCCATCTACTTCTGATAGCTAATTGTAATGACTCTCAATTAAGTTAGACTCATAACTATTAACAGACTACATATACAAAACAATATTGCAATGCATCTGAGTTCAACTTCTAAGAGGACAGAGGAGTACATTTAGTATTAGAAACAATATAAAACAACCGGATCAAACCTGCAACATGATTCATGAAAGAATAACCATAAAACCAAAAAGGTAAAATGATTCCTATTAAAATTAGCAAAATTCAAGAGAACACACAATAATATTATAAAATAAGCAAAAAAGTAAATTGATTCAGAACACACACCCAAATAAGGAAAAACAACTTACATTTTGTCCAGCCTCCTGAAAAGCTGTCTGCAGGTCTTCATTTATCTCTGGGTTGGGAACATAAGAGTTTTTGTAAAGGGCATACATGTACATCATAAACAGAAATCCAAGTGAAATACTACAAAGCCTATTTATTATTATGTATATCATCAAGTTCCAGACAGACACAAGCCTATTTATTATTACAATTTAAAAAAAAATGTTTTAAAGATGAAAATATACGCAAAACCATGACAAGTTTTCTACTCTCCCATGAATACAACTCACAATTTTTGTCATCATTTTATCTTTATTGCCTTTTACTGTGGAACTTGTAAATATGCATAAGAACCAAAGTTTCATGAAGTAAGATGTTTGCATTCATACACTTACAGACCAAGAATTTTAAGAGTTGAAGATGTCGATAATACATTTACTTAAGAATATAAATATGTGCATATTTTTAACTTCATAAACCCTTCTTTGATCAAATGAACTCAGGAAAAGGCATATTTTCTCGGTTATTGAAAACCCAGGAAAATATCTAACCCTATGTCCAATTTTTGTACATAAACAAATTTACGGACTACACCTCCACATTGAGCAACTTTCACTGTCATCAAAACAAAACACATCCCTCTGTTACAATGTTACCCCCAAAAGGTCGGTAACCCTAAATTGACTGAAAACTTGTACATATTGTGCTACCATATTAAGGAAAACCTTATGCAGTTGAAACATTCAGCAAAAAGTATTTGATAGATAGAAAACAAACATGTCTAAAGATAAATATAAGAAGAGATAAGCATTTCAATGATGCAGAGCCTGGATATCAACCAAACAGAAACTAAATTCTAACTACATGTTCTATGATCTGGTAAAATAAAGGCTTTTCTACAGCCAAAGAAGAAAACCTAATAAATTGAAAACAAAATATGCAGGAATCATCCAATAAAACAAAGAAAAACCAAGTACAAAGCCAAAACAATCATGATACCCTACCATAGCCATAAGAAGTAGCATCAGATTACAGCCAAATTGGCCACAAACAAGCTAACAGGAGCGAAAAATAATTAATAATTTATCTAATTGAAAGAAACAGCATCAAACCTGGACTGAAAGACCACTTGCGGGACTTTTCATCGGCCCCACCGCCTTCGTAGCGAGTCCTTCCATTGCCCGCCATCGCCATCGCCTATGATTGTATCTATCAATATCAAAATCAAAATCAAAGCATCAGTTCAAACATAGAAATTTGACAGTCAAAGAGCAAAAATCTGCAAAAATCAACCCTACTGTCACTAGATAGAAATTTGACAATCAATTAGCAAAAATCTGCAAAAATTCATTTAACAATGGTCGATGTGTGAAATCATGCTCCTAAAGGTCCCATTCCCAACAAGCAAATGGAGTAATCAAATGTGTGAATGAAAATCAGATGTCTGACATTCCTGATCGGCTGATTCCACTTTTCCAGCGGACAATAGAGAAGAGAGAAACGGAGAGAAAGAAAGAAATCGAGGAACTAAGGGACATACCTGATTGCAGCCGCCAGCGGTGGTGAGAAGTGGAGCGGTGATTGATTGCAGCGGTGGCCGTTGGTGAGACCAGGTCCAGACTTGAGACTCAGCGAGGCGGGTGTTTGGGATTATTTTGAACGTAAAAGTACTTTTTGCATAAAGACTTTTTATAAAATGATTTTTTTGAGAAATAAATTTTTTAAAATATGTTTTGATTAACAAAAAAAAACTTTTGGTTTAATTTTTATATATAAAACAACAAAAAGTCATAAAAAGTTAGATTGTTGTGACTTTTAAAAATCTTTTCTTTTCTTCTATGCCAAAATCATTTTCAAAAGAACTTTTGAATTATTCAAACACCTTTTGACTTTTTTTTATTTTTTGAAAAAGTTAAAAATCAAAAATTATTTTAAAAGAAATCTCAAACACCCCCGAAGATAGGGCTAACTATGACTAATCTAATTTGAGAAATTAAATATTTTTTTATATTTTATTACTACTTATCTTCCCACCATATCAAATGTTGATAAGTGGATTAAATTAGTATTAATTTCATTAAATGTGAAACATGTTCATATTTGATATGATAGAATGATGAATAGAAATAAAATGTAGGATGATATTTAATTTCTCATCTAATTTTGGCTTCTTTGACTTGTGGTTTCAGACTATTGAAGAGCAAAGAGAACACAACCCAAATTTCATAAGATTGGGCCTATTGCTATAAAAACTAAGGGTATATGGTCTACTTTTAACCCAAAATTATGAATGACATATCAAAATTATCCTCAATTATGTTTGTTAAACCATTACTTCCGTATGTTATGGCACCTAACTTTCATTTATTTATAATATAAATTGTACTTTTAATTCTTGTTAAAGCATTGTACTCTAAAAATCATATATATTTATATATTATAATGATCTGATAATTTGATAAAAAAAAGGTGTTATAAAAAGTATATCTAGAACAAATAAACTGTTAAAATAACTTATTGGTAGTAGAAAAAATTGTGTTTAAAAGCTATAAATGCTAAAAAAAAAAAGTTATTTAAGTATGGTAGCTAAGATAATAAAACCAATATAATGGATTAGTTGAATGGTCGTTTCATGTTCTTAGGTGTTGTTTGTTTTTTCTAAAAAACTTCTTCAACCCACTTATTGATGTGTCACGCAGCACACGCACAATACTTGGCCCTTTGCAGCTGTTTGTTTTTCAGAAGATTTCTGACTTAAAAACTGTTGCGTGTGTGTTGTGTGGCGCATCACTTGACTATCTGCTTCAAACCTCTTCACACTTTACTTTAACTTATTACAGCATTCTGCAGAGGTTAAAAAAACAAACTTTTTATTACATGTTGCAGCCGTTTGGTCCCCCTCTTCGGCTACCGAGGGTTGCAGAAGTGGTCCGCAGACTTCAGACGTTTTCGCTTCGAAAAAACAAACGACACCTTAGTTTCTTTTTAGGGTGACAAGCACGGTATGGTTTGAATGTGAATTCAAGGAAATAAAAACCAATATTTTAGATTAGTTGAGTGGTAAATCTTATACAATATATCTTGACATCTTCGGTTCGAGTCATACCCAATATAACTCTAGGGTTGTAATTGGAAATAAAATTGTGCCTTTTCAAAAAAATCAAAAAAAAAACCAAAATGTCATGTGTTTCTTTGGGTTAATATTAACTCGACGATGTGGGGGGTTATTGTCGTCAGCATCCTGTGTGGCTTGGATTGGCTTGGATTGTCGGCGACAAACACCGGCCCATGGTCCTCTTTTTCATTGAGAGTTTAGAAATGTTAAATAAAAATAGCTAAGTATCACTTAGACTACTCAGTATGGTCAACGCTCATTGGCGGAGGATTATTAGGGCCAGGGGGGCTGTGGCCCCCCCTGATTTTTTGGTTCTAAATAGCCCTTATAGTTTCATTTTATACATTTTATACCCAAAAATATAAAATTTTGATATTAGCCCCCCCTGCTTACCAATTTTTATACATATTATATATTTGGCTCCCCGAATCAAATGTTGAAGCTCCGCCCCTGTCAACGCTGTTCAAAAGGCTATGTCAGCATAAATCTTTGTCTTCTCCACAACATCATTAATGGTGATTGTGTTTCAAAGAAAAACATTGTTAAGGAAGAAGAAAACTAGAGGGTAGAAACGCGTTGAGGGGTGTTACGTTGGCAACGGAAAGCAACAAGAAACCAAGGGGAGCGTTGTTACAGCCTTTACCACAGCGTTATGGAGCTTCCACATCAGCAAAAACTACCTTGGGCCCGTACCAATTGCTATAAGATTTTGCAAAGTTAGTTGGAAAGACGGATAGTAACTTTAAAAAACTATGAAGTAATGAAATATTAACATATTTTTTAATTATGTTATTTAGTTTAATGTTTTTTTTTTCGTAAATACTTTTTGCGTAGAAGAACAAAATTATCACAATGCACTTTGTCCTTTTTTCATTGTTATAATACCGTGTAAATATTAAAACTAATGCATCGTGTCCTTTTTTTTCATTATTATAATACTTGTGAATATTAAGACAAATAAGAAGAGTGTCTGAAACTAATTGCTTCCAAATTAATAGATAATCAATTTGTAAATTTTTAACAAAATTAAAGGACGGAAATCGAATATGAATTAAACTAAAAATAAAAGAGATTCATTGTGCATTACTTGCAAAAGGATTGCATGCAATATGACATAGACATGAGATTCACATGATTAATTAAGTTTATTCGGGTTAACCGGGTTGACCCGAACCTGAAAAAATTATATAAAGCTAACCTAAAACCCGACCCTAAATATATTTTGGGTTAGTCAGGCTAACCCAAATAACCCGATTTTGATTACAGACCATATTAAACCCAACATTATTTATTCGGGTTAGTGTCAACTCGGATTAATCGGGTTCGGGTATTTTTGACACCCCTAGTTGTAATAATGTAACTTTTATATATTAATTAAATAAGGTGGTGTTTGTTTTTTGTCCGCAGATCTTCCTGGCATCTTCTGTCTGTGCGGCGCAAACATTAACATTCGCAGACTGTTTGTTTTTTTGAAGACTGCAGACCTAAAAATGTCTGCGCGCTCTTCTTGGCACAGATGTGGACCAGAGTCTTCTAACATCTTCAGACATCTTCTAGGCTAAAAAACACATATACTTTATTTTTTTTAGTTTTTTTTTAATTTATATTTATTCCCACTTTATTAGTGATAAACAATTTGAAAAAAAAGTTACAATACTTAAAAAAAAAAAAGTTCGACGACGCAAACATGATATTTTTGATAAATTTATAAATAAAAGTTTATTATAATAATGGTCGTTGAAGTTGTTTATATAAATATGAAAAAAATAACATATTCTTATATTTTTTGTACCAAATTTTATAAAACATTATTTAATAAAGCATCGTCAATTTTCAAAGAAAAAATATTTATGACACGTTTTTAGTTGATTTAATTGAAAAAAATCGAAGTTTATTTCCATTTATTTATATATCAAATTCTTTGATTCCTAATTACAATGTTTATACATAACTTTGCGACCAAAATTGTTGGTTTTTATCAAATATATACTTTAGTTTGTATCATTTTTATTTTCACTTTTTATACAATAATACATAAATTTTGATTTAGATTTGTTAATTATTTATAACAAAGTCATAAATATATTAAAAAATCACTTTGTAGTTTAAAAAAATCAGTTTATTTAGATTTTAGTTTATTTTAGTAGCATGCAGATGTTAAAAGGACAAAAAGTCTTCTTTTTCCAGACTGCAGACGTTTAGTCCACCTCTTCTGCTGCAGAGGTCTACAGATATAGTCCGCAGATTGCAGACATTTTGCCTCAGAAAAAACAAACAGCACCTAAGTGATTCAAAGTGTTCCTAACCTTTGACAGAATAAAAAACATAATTCATTAATGCATGTTTCATATATATTATCAAATCATATGTCCATGTCACGACCAATTCTATCACTACCCCAACCTCCTTGTCACGAACATTTCTCTGTGACTACCCCAACCCAACAGGTAACAGATTAAAAATTACCTAATTTCACAAAAATGAAACAAAATTGAAAGTAGAGTTTTTAAACACTTAAACCACTTCAATTAACCCTGAAAAACTTAGCACAACTCGAAAACCTAGACTCCACAAAACTTTAGATTTTTACAAGATAAAATTCAAACATACATGTCCACATGTTAAACAAGGTAATATTTGTGTGCATAATGAAGTCAAATTCAATCACAAAGACAAGAGAGAATGCAGATGTTATATACTAAAAGTGAATACATGACATCTCTCGCTTTTAACTTTGTCTTGCGCCCCTCACCATCTCATGCTTGGGAGGTGCCACCCAAATAAGACTGTCGACATACTCCACAAATTTTTCCATGCTGTCATTTCCATGACAAAATTTGTCTAAGATTTTAGCTTTCCCTGCAGTTGGGTCATACAAAACAATACGGAAATCATCATCTACAATAAGAACCTCATTGTGTGATGTGAATCCATAACCTACACCATTCGGTAAATGCAAATGCGACATAACATAGTGTTTCGCCCATGATTCAGTCACACCATACTCATACATCACCCACACCTCACATACATCATCTTCCTCATACCATGACATCACACAAAGCTTTCCACCCAAACCTCCTAAAGCATTCGAGCGTTTGCTATCAAGTAGAGAATCAGGAAAAGGTATCTCACGGAATGTCTCTGAACCCAAATCAAATGCCACTATCGTTTCTAGCTCCCCCTCCTCCTGATCACGAATAAAGGCATGCCAATGAAGATATCCACCATGCCCATCTACACAAACGACATCGCAATTGATTAGCATTATGACATGCGATGGAAACCTTTGAGAAACTAACTCCCATGAACCTCTTTTCATGCTATAAACCTCAACTTGCAGCCACTCTTTAACAATATGTGGTAAAGTACCGGTAAGGCCTATAATCTTAACAACTTTGTAATCCTCTGTTTTTGGATCAAACCCAAACCGGAAATAAATGTCATAACTATGATCACCGGAGGGTATATAATGTGGTGGGAGAGTTGACACGGTGGAAATAGAAGGATTCCAAATGTGAATGACATCAAAACCGTAACGAGAGCATATTAAGCCGTGAACAGAACCGATAATTCTGATGCTGCTAGTAGTATGTCCAGATTTGGGATTAACCGCAGGGAGTTTGATGGAATTAGTGTGTTCGATATGTGGAGATCGACATGGGTGTACAGTGAATGGTTCAGGGTCAGAAGAAGATGTCTCATTGTAGAAGACCAAGAGAAGTCGATCCTTGTTATTGATGGAATGATGGAGGTGGGATTTTATAAAGGATGGATGAGATAAGAAGGCATTCCAAGATTTGGAGACGGATCTCATTTGAGCAACCTGTTTTGCCAATAATCGGATGAATATGTTTACCAAAGCATCATCCGGGAGTTTCTCCATAGTCGTTGGGTGTTGAATTTCAGACCTGTAGCATCAGTATAACAGATATCAGTAAAGTCACCACCAAGAGCATTAATATTTAAAAATAACAGTGTGTTTAGGAGTGTACTAAAAGAAAGACCAACCAAGTAAAGGTTTTCTGTTTGCACATTTGTTGAAGCTCTGATACCCCAGTGGAAGCAGAGATGCTAGTAGAATTCGCACCTTCATCTGATCCTCCAGTTGAATTCTTCAGTTCATGAAATCAAAAGTGTATCAAGGTTTTAAACATTATGGTTGGATAAAGCTTCAATACAGAGACCTAAGAATATACATATTCCTAATGCACTTGGAAGAAAAAAGTCCCATCCATCTACTTTTGATAGTTAATTGTAATGACTCTTAAGTTAGACTTAAAACTACTAATAAATCAAGTAAAAAAGTAAACTGATTCAGAACACACAAGAAGCACAAACGAAAATCAAGAGAACAACTTACATTGCGCCCAGCCTCCTTACAAACAATCTGGGGTTCTTCATTTATCTCTGGTGTCATAAGAGAGGCAAGTACATCATTAGCAAAAAAAAATTAAAGTGATGTAATACAAAAGCTATTTATTATTATGAATATATCGAAGCCCATATTTACAACAAGAATGGCGCTTATCACTTATTACCAAAAACTAAATTCTTGCATGACTTATGATGTGGTAAAATAAATGCTTTTCTACGGGCAAAGAAGGAACCTAACCAATTGAAAAAAGATCCAGCAATCATCCAATGAAACAAAATAAATACTTACAAAGCAACAACAATCATAATACCTTACGATAGCCATAACAATCATAATACCTTACGATAGCCATAACAATTAGCATCAAGATTACAGGACCCCAAATATTAATAATTGTTCTAATTGAAAGAAACAGTATCGAACCTGGACGAAAAGGCCTCTTGCGGGGTTTTTCTTCGGCTCCACCGCTTTCGTATGGCGAGCCCTTCCATCGTTCACCGTCGCCATAAACTGAAGCTGGAGAATTGAGGAGATGAATTACGTAGGCAGGGAACTGGAATCTAGGGGGGGTTTCAGGGTCCTAATAGTCATAAGAAAAGCCTAAACGGATACAAAAACAGACGTGTGATGGGGTTTTTATGTTCATAAAACCGACCAAAATCGGTATGATGCGGTTTACCTAGAAACCATTATGTTAAAATTTTAAATAATTATATATTCTCAACTTCAAAATTTAAAATTTCATGCCAAAATATCTGACCCTAATAAACGATTGTTCCGGAATATATTTGATTTTTTTTTTCAGTTTTCATAAAATGTAATACATCGTTTTAATATATTTGTAATACATGGTGCTACATCGTTTTAATATATTTGTAATACATGGTGCCGGAATATAATGTATAAGTTTTGCTTTCATAAAATGTATACTTTTTGGTTTTATAAAATATAAAATGTAATTAAATAAACAAACAACTACTAAATACATAAACTAAATAAAGGATGTGTGTGGGTCATATTACAAATACGATGTTCAAATTATCTTTGTTTTTATACCCCAAAATATTTCCGCTAGTCGTTTTCTATAGCCCATGGACCGGGGGTTTTACCCTCTATATAAATTGATTTCCCGTTGATCGACGCCTTCAGGAACCAACACAAAAATACATCACAATCCCCTATGCTGCCAATCTGTGGTGGTATATATGGGGTTTTTTTCGATCAGTCATCATGAAGCTCTGGAGTGGGATTGAATCAATTGGTTCGGTGCCCTAATAGTTGACTCTCACTAGCAGTTTGTGGATGCGGGCTCTCATACCTATAAACCAATCCTCATTTTTCGAACGGTAGTCGTTTGGAATGTCTTCAAATCCAAAACACCCAAAACCCAATGAGTATGTGGTATATTGATTGGAATGTAAAGCTACAAAAAAACATTAGAAATAATTAATTAGTATATAAATACTCAGGTAATGTAATCCAAACAAAATTATACCGTATCACACTCTGCCCAAGCTGGATAAATGGATCCATCAGCCATGTCACTCCAGTCAAATGTATCAGTGTTGAAAGTTGACGGCACAACGTCCACCAAGCATAAACCGTTATACGCTATACCAGCAATGAGATCCACATCATGATGTCTACAAACTTCATAAAAGAATTACACATGTTTAAAAATATGCAACCGAAACAGAAAATATTATTAACATAAACGGTAAAAAAATTTAAAAATCAAAGGTTTTTTTTTTTAAATCAAGTTATAAAAAATTATGGAAACTATAAAAAGAAATTATATCAAATCCGTAAAACAAAGTTTAGAAAAATCAAAGTTTTTTTTAAAAAAAAAATCAAAGTTAAAAAAAACATAAGTTATATCAAAATTCTAAAAAAATTCATTTGAAAAAAATGAAAGCCGAAGAGGTTTTAAAAGGCAAGTCAAATGTTGCGACACGCAGAACACGCACAAATATTTTGTAGTATGAAACCTTCCAGAAAACAAACAGCTATAAAAGGGCAAATGCAGAAAAAATGATATGAACATGATTTTTTAACTTAACAAAAAGCACCTAAATTTCTAGCAATCCATAAGATTTTTAGCTTCACCACTTAAGTTTGACAAATTTGTTAAATTTGTCCTTCTTCGTTCATTTTTCTATTGTTAAGTCTAAATGAATATATTTTTTTTAAATATTTGATCTAAACCTTTTATTAGCCCATTGTATTTATTTTTTCTTTTCATTTTATTATTTTGTTACTTATCTATTTGTCTAAAAGTTTTAGTTTAATAAAATTGGCCAAAACTTTCACGCCCAAAATCAAAATGTTACATTATATGACCAAATAGTAACGTTTTCGTAGCTTCAATGGTTATTTAAGTCGCTCGTCTATTTTGGAACTTAATTTCCATTCCTTAAAACTGAACTGTATAAATTGATTTAAACGAATGATTCAGTTGATTTGAATTAAGTTTTAATTTTATTTTACTAATATCCATATTTTAAAAACCAAAATCAATTTGAATTAGGTTTGGCAATCGTGTCATGTTCGGGTTGGCGGATCAATATATATAAACCTGAACACGACCCATTTAACTACATAGGTCACGGATTAGCGGGTTTGGAACATAAACTCATATATGACCCGTCAACCGACTTATTTATACGGGTTCTTGTCGTGGGTCAGATTTGGATTCATGGGTCAGATTTGGGTTTGTGTGTTCGTGAGCCAGATTCCATAAATAAAATTTAATCTCCTCCAGCTTCCCGTATGGCGAAGGCGAGCGATGGAAGGGCTCCGTACGAAAGCCGTGGAGACGGTGAAAAGTCCCGCAAGAGGCCTTTCCGGCCAGGTTTATCACTGTTTGCTCTAAGTCAGATCTATTTTTATTATTTATTGCTCCCGTGTGCTTATTTAGGGCCTATTTGATTTCTTATGGCTGCTGCACCTTTTTCGACAGATTATTTTTTATTTTTGGCTGTATCTTTGAATTGCTCATCTCTTTTTATAATGTACGTCTTTATCTTTAGACATGTGTGTTTTCTATTGATTGAGTAAGTAGTACTTGCTGTATGTATGAACTGCCTATGCTTTACTTCAGTATGGCTGCAGAAAGCCAGTTACGTGTAAGTAAGCAGTCAATTTGGGGTTACTGATAGTTTTTACCCATTTAATTTGTACTATGCGAAAGTTTAGTGTTCATGATGATACTTTTTGGGGGTGATCAAGGGATGTATTACGATGACAGTGAAAGTTAGTCAATGATCCTCATCATCGTGGAGTGTAGTATGTAAGTATGTTTATATGAAAAGAAACCATTTTTGTGTGGATGAATATTATTGTTGAAAAGTTTTTCTCATCGGATTCAAGCATGTGGAAAAGAGAATATCTGTTCATGTGCCAATTTGGATTTTTTAACTTTTGAATTGTCACGTGGTGGGACCATCACAATATACAATATATATTAACCATTAAATCATTGTCTTCATATTAGGTTATGAATCTAAACATCTGTTTGTCTCTCATAGATCTGCATCTTTAAATAAATTTTCTTGTGATAAGTGATAAATGGTAATGGGTCAGTCCAAGGTTTAAAAGTACGGAATCGCGCCTTGAGGCGTTTTCCCTCAGCCTCATGAGGAGGCGTAAGCCTCGAGGCGGAGTGAGGCGTAACCCCGAGGCGGAGTGAGGCGTAACCCCGAGGCGGAGTACAAT